CAGCGACCGGACTAGGAGAGAAACCAGCTCCGAAAAAGAAACATGGGGCTCATCCAGGGATCCCAGGTCTTGGGAAGTAATAGCCACATCCAGAGACGTGGAGTCTACTTCCGACTCGTCCGAGTCTTGATGGTAGTGGTAATGCTCACTGGACAAAGAGCTTTCAGGAGATGGAGGAGGTCTGCGTTCCGTACGGCCAGAAGTGGACGGTGCCTCTCTCGGGATCAACAGCGAGCGACAGTCCGGAGGAAAAAAGGCATATGGATGGAGTCCACTCCAGGCAGAATAGCCACCATAGCTGTGCATAGCCCAGTCATCTGCATGGCGCTCCGATGAACGGCTCCTACGCCTAGGAGGAGAGTCTGGTCTCTCAGGTGGCCCAACAGCAGGCATTGGCGTCGGGGAGCGTTGCCTCAGCGGGGAATCTCTAATTTCTCCATCAGAGATGGACTCCCTAAGTGGTGGCTCCTGTGGAGGAGACACGCTCTCAGGCCGAAGAACAGGCCTGGGGGATCCCGGTGGTGTCACCTGCATAGCGGACTGCAGGGTTGGTCCCGAGGGAGTCGGTACCGTGGCGGCCGTTGGTACCGAGAACCCTGACGAACCTGAGCCTCGGTGTTTGGGGCAATCGGGTTTCTTGCCCTTGTGGGCTGCCTTAGCCGTCTTTTCCTTCCTCAGCTTCTTATGGCCAGAGGGCCTTTCTGGCTCTGAATGCTTACGCTTCTCCTTTTGTTTGGTTGGAGGAGAAGGTAGCTGTTGTGCTTCCGTTGGAGCAGCGCCTTCATCCGAAGGGAGCTGTGGCAGCACGGCCGAAGTTGAGGCGGGGTGCTTAGGGGGCACGGCCAGGGTAGAGGTGGAGCGCTGAGGTGGTGCAGCCGAGGAATGGGTAGGCCTTGAGACCAGCTGGTCAGATTAAAGCAAGGCCTGGTCCCAAAGTAACTTGCGGAGACGATTCTCCCTATTCTTCCTGGCCTGTTTGGTAAAGGCCAGGCAATGCCGCACTTATCGGTCCTATGCCCCTCGCCGAGGCAGAGGCGGCATAAGTCATGCGGGTCCGCGGGAGACATTTTGGAGCCACACTCACACTTGCGGAATGCCGCCTGCTGTGCCATCGTGAAAGGGAAAAAAGAGATGATAGTACAGAGGGTAGGAGTAATATTTTTTGTTTTTGTTTTTTATACAAAAAAGAATGAACAGAGGAACTACAACAAGGGAAGGAAAAACTGGGATATATAATGAGGAAAAGGTAAGTTGAGTAAGATAACCGTAAAGGAGCACGTGGCGAGATCTAAGCGAGAGACGAACAGGCACGAGGCACAGCGAACGGCGGTCGCAGAGACCGAGTAAAATGGCGGACGCTCCGCTCTATTTATACCGCAGGGGGGAGGGGAGCGGAGCGTTTTCCCGCCAAAAACCGTTAGCTTTCTAATCTTCCGGCCTAGGCACTGCACAGGTGCAGCACCCATATGTGTGATGCACAGAGGCCACGACGAAGAAGTACTTCTTCTTCACATAAGAAGTGTGCACACAAGACTCTAGTTCTGGAATAGAAGTCTCTCTTCCCTTTTTTCAAAACACGTTTCTCAAGGATCAAATATTTATATTTAGGCAAGAAAGAATCTGTGAAGGTACCAACTTTCTGTTCAGATGAGATACGAGAAGTGCATAGGGTTACTAAGCATTTTTGTATGCTTGGACTCACTGCTCAAACTTGGGTGAGATGCCATGCCACTTCTTTTCAAGAAGACATACAAAGTCTGGCCTAACCATCTAGATTTCTTCCCTCTTCCCCTCTTTTTGGGCACTGCCTGAATGTGCCTTTTGTTAATAGGTCATGTGACTCTTGGGCCCAAGCTACTAGTTAATCATCATTTGTATATAGAACTCACAGGTTATTACAAGCAAGTCAGCAACTTCTGCTCATGCTGAGCTCATGAAAGTAAATTCAGAGCACTCATTGTCCATAGAAAACACGGCCCTCAGAGCAAAGATATTTTGAACTAATTGGTGAAATCAAAATTCCTTCCAGAACCCTGGAGGACTAAGCCCATTTTGAATAAATACATCGTTAATGGCTATGCTTCCCACTTGGGCTTTGTTTTATTATAGTGTTTTCCAACTGACATAATATATACAGATAAGAGTTTTTTTTCCTTTAAAAGGCATGCATTTTAAAATATTAATTTTGTATCCCTATGCTATGATGCTGCATAAAAAACAAGTTGGCAGAGAGAGCTTTACTTTGCTTTTATTTAATAAGAAAACTGAAAGGGTGTTATTCAGGTCCCAACAGTGTTATTAAGAACGAGAAAGAATAAGGTTACAAACTACTGAGTTACTGAAAACCATAATTAAAAGAAATTATTGCACATGAAAGCTTAAGCCAAATCTAGCAGCAAGATGATTGAAGGCTGATTAGAAATCTTTACCTCTCTTAGAAAGTAAGAGAGAGGTACTAGAGAGAGGTACTAGATTCAAAACAAGCATTTAAGAAAGAAATAGGCAACTCATTCAATGCTAAGGGGACTAGCAAACTTTAAAAAACTGTCTTGGGAATTATTACCAAAAACTAGAGGGAGCAACCCAAAACACCACTTCAAAGTTTCTCTGTGTCGGGAAAAGAAAACTAAATGAATGGCAGAAACATTCCCAAATGAAGCTCAAGAAGGGAACATTTTCAATAAAATAAACACATCTTGTAAACAAACACTGTCTTGTTTATAGCAGACAAATGCTAACATGTGCCAAGTGTTACACACAGGACATCCCAAAAACACAAGCATGTCTGATCAAAAGTCTGTTGGGCTGTTTCAAGCATGACACACTTATTTGAAAAGAACTAGTAGCAAAAAGCATAGACAACATCTATCATCCAGATGTGGCTGCCAATTTTGCACTGCGTACTTGCAAGTTCTTCAAGTATGTGCCCTGTGCATACATGCAGCAGAATAGACAAGTGTAATCTTAATAGCCTGCATATGATTGGCATACCTTTCCTTACATGGAAGCACTGTTTAGTGGACTGTCTGTTAAAGTGCTGATCACAGACTTTTTTTGAGGAAGACAAAGCAATTTTGTCATTTTAATAGATTTCTTGGCTAGATCAGATTATTTGGAAATAATTATTTTGTGCATGCAGATGAGCAGTGCTTCTTGGAGAACAGTCAGTTTCAGCATCTTGATGACATCAGAAACAGAAGGCATATTGGATACAGGATGAATTGCTATCCACTCTGACCAAGAAAATCTAGAAAGACTTTTCAATGGTCTCCATACACAACTTCCAAATGATATTTAAATTATGGAGTGAATTCTTATGATGCAAAATTGTAGTTCAACTTCCTCCATGGTACAATGGCAAGGAATGATTCTGGTTAACCACCTATCAATACTAGATATGTTGAACCTCTTTCAGTCTAATTTCCAGTGGGATTCTGTTTTGGAGAAGCTTTGTTGGGGAAGGACAGCACTCCAAAGGTGGGACGGCTCAAAGGCAACAGTGTGGGGCAAAAGAGGCAGGACCAACAATAATGCCGTATTTCAGAGCAAAGCTCTTACTTCCAGTAGCAAAGCCCGAGGAGATGCATTTTGTCCTGCCATAGCTGGTTCAGACTCAGTCTGACTCAGACAGAGGCAGGTTACACAGCAAATCCACCTTGAAGGTCCCAAGGTCAGAAGCACAGGCAAACAGTCCAACAGAAGTACAATCAAAGCAAAGGAATCCAGAAGTCAGCAGCAGAAGAGGTTGATCCAAGGAGAAACAAGATCAAGGAAGAACAGTTTCAAGGCACTGGAAGCTGAAACACAGTAGAGTTCCAGCAAGAAGCAGGCATATTGTAAGTTCTGGAGCTGGAGCCCCACCAAAGATTCAGCAGAAATATATCAGAGGTTTCTGGAAAAAGTCCTCCTGGTTAAGAGAGCCCTCTTAGCAAGGAGTTCTTTACTCTTGAGGAACCTACCTTGGCAAATATGTGCTCCTTCTTACACAATTGTACTGGCCTGCCTCTACAGACACCAACACTCTTAGGGGCTAGATGGCTGCTCACAGCCCCAGTCTCAAAGGCAAAGTTCCCCTCTTCTTGTGGGGATGGACCTGCAGCCATTTCTCTAAGGCTTCAATTTCTCCTGGTTCTCTGGCTTGGGCTGCTCTTTGATGTGTTTTCTCTCTTGGAGCTCTAGCTACATGATGCATTTCAACTTTTAAGGATGGAGAAAAGCTAGAAGACCACTGGCAGCCCTGGAATGATGCATGGTCATTTAGGGAACCCTGGAAGACCAACTTGGGACCTCTGGTGGGCTGAGTTTGGCCCCAGGTCCAAGGTTCTGCATCTCTGGCCCAGAATCCTACACTTTAAGTAGTAAAGCAAAAACAAAAACCTTTGCCAAGGCAATTTAATTTCACAACACATTACACAGGCTAAGCATGTCTATTTTCTGTAACATTAATTTGGTTATGCTACCAAGAGGACAGGCAATGAACTTGCGGCACAGGACATTCATAGTCTCATTCCTTACTTGTGATTCTGAAATGTTACCACACATCGCCCACACAAGCAAGCCCATGTTCAAAGCAAGAATAATTAAACCCTGTTATGTTTAAAGCAGCTGAAATTCCCAGGACACAGAATGCTACGTATCAATACAATCACAAATGTGCAGCCTTCCAGTGAAGCCACTGTATTTATTTGCTTGGCAAATAATGGCTTGCACGCTCTCGCTCGCTCTCACTCTCGCTCTCTCTGTGAGAGAGAGTTTATATATTGCATTTTTCTTAATTTTCCCTGGCTTACTTAACTTTAACAGCAACTTGGTGATTCCTACTTTGGAGCAATCCTCTTTTACTTAATCCCCCAAACTACTGGAGCTGTGCCAGAATTTAGTTTTATTTCTGTATTTTAATGAGAGCAGTTCTGGGACTCTTATGAAGCAAGGAGAAACAAATACAGGAACAGAGCCAGAAATGTAACCAGGGTTTAAGATGCATGCATACAGTAGCTTACCTCATTCCTTCGGTTGATCTATTCTGATAGTTACGGTAAAGCTGCGGGATACCCAGCATGGCCTCGGTGAACACAGCAAGGAAGCCCAGTGTTTCAACAAAGATAATCGAGTCAAGGGAAAGGTAAGTGATGTATCCTGTTACTCCAGTGAAAGTCAGAACACACTGCACATAGTCTGTAAACTTGTTCCAGTGCCAGAAATAGTTCAAGTCAAAATCTGAAAGACAATGTTTGTAAGTAAAAAAACCCAAGTTTTACAGCTTTAGCAATTTAGTTAACTACACTTCTACTTAAAAGAAAGAGGAAACAGTAGAATTAGATTACTTGGACAAGGTAAAGGATCTTCCACAAATACCTGAACTGGAAGACAAATTAAGAATATACATAATTAGCACATATTATTTAAAAAAGCAGTAACAGGAGAGGAATGGTGATGATGGAGGAAATCTAGCATATGGTAACAGTTAAAACTGAAAATAAGTTTATGGTATATTGCAGGGCAAGAGAATGCAACTGCTGAAATTGATTTGAGACCTAATGTGAAACCACTGCTTTATATTATATGCATGAGTAGATGTCAACCTCAGGCTCACACACTCTTTCTGTCCTGCATGCACTATGATTGGAAGCAACCAAATATGGCCAGTGACAGACCACACTTTGCCACTGCAACTAAGCCTGGCAAGGTATAGGCTTTACAGAAGCCATCATTTATGCAAAATATACTGTTTGCTGGGTTCACACACAAGAACTAGCTGCAGTTAGAAGTTTCCAACAGTGTGTGCAAAAGGAGGGGAGCATGTAATGCTAAAACACAGCTTTGCATTGTGTCTGAACAGCTCCCTGCCAAAAGGCACTTAAAACAACCAAAGGAAGCTACTTCTTGGATCCTCACTTATTCCATCGGTTCACAAAAGGCATTCCATTCCAAGGTGAGCAAGTCTCTGATCCAGCACCTCCGGGCACCTATTTTTTAATTTGTTTAATTCACTTTTTTGATGTTCAATTTTTTTCTAGCAATTGTACATAGGCTTCAAAAAAAGCTGACCAAATAGCCAGATGAGCATCCATTTGAAGGTAGCATCTATACTGAACTTGAACCCATTCTATATTGAACCCATTCAAATATTGAAAGCTCTGTAATGACCTCAATCCATTATATTATAAGAGATACGCGTTCTCCTTCCAGTGCTGTCCTATCAGTCTTTTAACAGTCAAAAAGGCAAAGAAAATCCATTTATGCTGACAATTTGTTAATTTCCATAAAGCAGGTAAATAATTTAAAAGAGCATGTAGATCAGTGAATATGAAAGACTGTTCCAACTGCCTCCCAAAAAGAAGCAACTACTGGTCATTGTCAAAATATACATTTAAAAGAAGCATTACCTCTATTGCACCACTGGCAGTTAGCTAAATTAGACAATCCCTTGCTAAAGAAACATGGTAGTATCCAATAGGCATAAAACTAATATTTTTGCTAAATAAGATGCAACCTAAGATCCACAGACATGATAGACTCCAAAGCAGTGATTCACTAATTAGCTATTTTGTGATAGTGTCCACAAAAGTTTCTCAAATTCCCAAATGTGTGCATGAGCCAAGAAGGTTGGAGTCATGTGCAGCAGAGGCTCTCCCGTGAAGGATTGAAACATTTGGCAATTTTCCATTCCCCCTGCAGTCCCCAGCACTCTTTTCGAAGTTGTTCTGGGGTGTCCCCCAACCATTCCAACCAGATTTTTAATTGGCTACAGGAGTAAACAGGGAATCAGAAAAAATAGCCATTCCCTCCTGTCAGTAAGAACATCTCATGAGTGGAGTGTTGCTCACAGGAAGTTAGCATCCAAACTTATCCATTAATGGACAACACAGAAACAAAATTTGAAATAGTAGCCAGCCTGGTTAGGCATGACGATCTTCATGCCTCAGTGTATATAACCACCATTGCAAAGCCTGATTGTAGTTAGAAAATTTTGGGAATCTTGGGGTTGATTCATATGGACATTCATCTACTAACATGCTGATTATTCAGTCAGTGTACACGGGTTGGAAACAGGTATTATCTTTGTCTTGTGCATGTCTCATTCCTCCCAGATCTATGGTTCGAGGCACTGAGTTAAACAAGGTGACCCTTTTGCAATGAGACATGCGCCCTCGGTGATGATGTAGGTCATGTCTGCCTCACCCAATGCAGGTTCAACTTGTAGCTCTGTTTATGGAAGGGGGTGCAAATTGCTGCCGCACAACAGCAACATATGGAAAGAGGATGTGTTTGCCACATCCTCATTCACTCTGTCCCAGAGTTACACCCAGCACCAACTCCACTGGGAGACTTTGAGCTTGGGTGTCTTCCACTGAGGAAAGATAATGCTAGGATAGTTGATGGGGGGTGGGGGGAGGGAATAAGAACTATCAAAGTTATGCTGAAACCAATCAAAGAAATCCTTTCCTGTGCAATTAAACAGCTGTACTTGCTAAAAACAGAATTCTATTTTGGTCCATAATGATTTTTTTGGTATATTTAGGATGTCATCAACTATTTCTTAAAAGAACAAGTAAATAATGTCATGCCAGTGATCATTGCTCCATAATATGCTACCCATCCCTCAGAAGTCTAAACTAGTATTTTAGACCATCATCTATAGAAAGGTTTGGATGCTTTACAAAACGCTTCTAAATAAACTCACTGTCTTGCCAAATAATTATTTCAAAGGGCCCTGGAAACATTATGGATAAATAATAATCCTGTGAAATGTTGCTTCCAAATCTTAACCAGTACTCATTAAGAACATCCAAAATTAATGCCTCTGTCTACATTTGGAATAATCCCTTACCAACATTTTGGCTAATCCTTCATTTCCACATCTGTGATAGTCAGCATGGAAAGGAGGGGCACACAGCTGTGCTAGCTGATGGAGCGGCGGTTCCCACCTTTCCTTTGAACAGAGAATATTTGAAAAGAAGAAACTTTGCACTGAGCCAGCTATTACAGTAGGTAAGGAAAATGTTCCCCAAAGAAATGAATGTGGACTTTTTCTCTTGCTTTGACGGAAATTTTAAAAGTTCAATTGCTTCCATGTGTTGAGGCAGTGGAACCATCATTCACAGATTATTAACCGTCATATTTCCTGACAGAAGAGTACTACCCTGTACTGTCACATCCCATATTGCAGCAAAGGTATTAACTCAGAACATTAAAAATGGAAGGAGTTCTATTTTTTCCTCTCTTAGCAGTTCCACATAGATGAGCATTAGCTTTCACAGAACAGCAATAATTAAACTCGCTGTCCTGTAAGAGTCCAGTTAACAGCTGGCTAGCTACTGTAGCAATATTTCAGAAAGTTAATATGCCAGACATGGTGAGCTTGTAATAGAAAACCAGGCGTGAAGGGTCTGGTGAAGCACCAGTCAAACTGTTGCCAAGCGGTCTGAGCAATGCTCAACACACGGCCATGTACTTGTACTTCCAAAAAGAAAAAAAGGAAAGGGGGTGGGGAGCAGATGCAAGAAAGAGGCAATGCACTTGCCATTTTTGAAAAGGAGCAAACTGCACTGGCACTGCAATCTTCATCCCAAGCATTACTGCATCTGATTATTGTTTTAGGAGGTTACTAAAACACCACTCTTTTCATTGCAAATATAATCTAAGGAAAAGCCTCTATACATTGATAGCAAACATTTTCTGTGAACACACGTCATTTCTCCCAAAGATGGACACATATAAGAGGGCTATTATATTAAACACACAAGAGCTGAGCAGGGCCATGGACACTTCAGAGGACAGAGATGACTTCGCAGTGCGTGACGCCAAAAAAACAGGCTCTTATACAAACTCGTAGATGGAATTAATCAGCTCATCCACCACAAAGAAACCTAAGCATACTAAGCGTAGCATATGGTGGGGCAGGGAGAGAAAATACTTTAGGTATCCATCGGGGAATTTGAACCATGGAGAAACAAGTTCAAAGGCCTGCTCAGTGTCTGAAAAAGGGGATGCTGTGCATGGAAGGTTATGCTGCATCTCTGAACCTTAGTGCTTATGCTGCATTAAAAGATACCTGACTTTTTATACAAGCCTCCACCTCAGTTTCATTTTTTTCCTCTTTTCATTTCTTTTCATAAACAACACTCCTCTAATTTTACCTGCCTTTAAAAACTGATACCTATTTGTTTTCCTTTACAGGACAAACAGCAGCCAGATTAGGAAAACAGTAAAAGAGGAAAAGGCTAATCAGAAGATCCAGTTATGAAACTGCTGAGTAACATGAATATTGTCCTTTATTTAGCCAATGCTCCAGCCATCAAAAAATTAGCAATCAATTTCTCGCAGAATTGCCAGATGTGTTTAGTAATATATCTGCTAAATATAGAAGGTATATTGACATCAATAAATATCCTCCCTGAAGTTAGTAATAACATCACCAACCTCTCCTACTTTAATTTGTGTCAGTTACTCCAGCCTCCATGAGCCAATTCTGGACTAATGTTCTGCAGATTCAGCTAGTGCAAAGTGATGATTTCCGAATATACGTTTGTATGATGCTGCTTTTCCAGTCCAACTGTACCATGTATACTATGCAGTGAATAGATAATCTGAATCCTAATATTATTTTATACTGAAAGATAAAATATGAACATTTGAGGTTTTAAAAATGGCAATGCTAAAAACAGTTGTGTTATTAAAGATGCATAATTCTTCAATTTTCCTCGTTACTCTTTTTGCTATGAGCAAAGGATGCTGAGGGGATTCTGCTTAAATTGCTGCACAATAAACAGCCTGAAAAGGACCTCTAACATCCCTTAACATACAAAGATACTTATTTTACTTCATTGCACAGAGATGGAAAAGAAGAGGTGACATCTTTCCTTCACTGCTGTCTGTGCAGGGTCCTCAGGAGGGTTTGCCATTGAGTTGCTCAAAATCATTTCATGCCCTCTGCAAATACACACATCCTTCCTGCTATGTAAGAGAGGTGACACAGGTTGGAACAGGCATAGTAACTTGTCCATTTTTTTAGGGGAGGAAGCAGTGTTAGGTTGAAGTGCCTTTTAAAGTTCGACGGTCTGCATGACCTTAGCATCTCAGATTGGTGCAAAGTCTTTTCTGCAATGTAATCTTAAAAGGCGAACTCAGCAATGCATTTTATCAAAGTCTCACAATCATACCACCAGCCCACTTTAAAGAAATGCGGATGGGAATTACCCTCTGTATTATTGGAG